TAAAGATCGCTTCGATTTTATATGTAAAAAAAAGTAAGAAGGCTTGGCTGAGGGACAAAGTGGAAGGTAGACACTCCTGGTCTGGGAGGTAGGAATTCGGAACTGGGGGGAGGGGGGAGGGTTATGAGTGCCCCTCAGGGTTTTTATACTAATCCAATGCGTAAAACTTAGATTAACTGGGGAGAAACCAACAATCTTAAACGCGCTTCCTAGAATCTCACCTAAACAAAAAATTCGGTACCACAACAAATTTTACTGCTCAATTCTGGGCCCAAAATGAGTTCCTATTGCACATTGGCTAAGCCAAGCCGATCTTCAACAGTTGCCTCAAACTTCACCTCCCCGCGAACATTACTCACATTGTTGTTCAACACCCACCGACAGTCGGTAGGAGGAGCGCAACATGCCCCGCCCATTGGATTTTACTTTCTCGCATGGTCGGCAATGATATCCTGCACGTCGCTCATTTGACCCGCAGTCTGATTGTTTATATGGTCACGGTACGGTACGTCGGGCGTGTTGCGCCGGACTATGGCGCGAATTCATCAGCATATCACCAAAACCTCAGATTACCTCTCAGAAATGATCAGTTCTCCGTCGCCGACCGCTTCGTGCTCCACGAAAGCCGCCACGTGAGGCTGGACCAGTCGCACGCCATCACTCGGTGCTGCAACGTTAGTAAGAACGATCATCAGCACCAAACCGCCTGAAAGCACCACACTTACATCAAAAACCGCGAAAACATGCCGCACCAACCCACCCCCCCTAGCCCCATGTACATATTCCATCGATCTTTGCCGCATTACACTGACGAGGTGACCGTGGAGAGAACACGGGCTTCGAGAGGGTGCAGAGAAAGCTAGACGCAACGAAATACTGCAGCAATGAAGAGAATCAGGCAGAAGCAAAGCAAACTTGCGAAATCATCCGAAATGTACGATGCAGGCAGCTGATAAAACTCGGCTCGGCCACGCAAAATGCACTCGCTTTCAAAGTTTGCGTTTGAACTCTGAGAATGGTGGTGCAGGGTTTTTTGAACAAGTCAGGTTCGAGGTGTTCAATTCGAATTTTCCCTCAACAATAATTTTCAAGCTAAGCAAATATAGGTAAGCAATTAGTTTTATTTCCAAGAATACAGCTTTTTTATTTTACCTTCTCTCCAATCTCTCTAAGAGTTTCCATTTCTACTAGTTATTTAATTTTTTTCAATTTACATCCTTAACATCCTTATCATCTGTATCCTTTTCATCTTAATTCTTACTCTTAATTATA